ATGTGTAGTACTTCATTCATCTTCCAACAAATCAAGCACTGCATGTTTCAACTTCCAATGTGAGTTCTTCGTCAATCTTCTGAAATATCAAACACTGCATGTTTCAACTTCCAATTGTGGAGTTCTTCGTCAACCTTCTGAGATATCAATACCGCTTGTTTCGATTTGACTACCTCAACCTTCCAAGAAATCAAGCACTTCCATGGTCCCTAATACGTTTCTAACATCCGTGGATGTGACCCAGTGTAGGCGTTCAGAGGGTGAGGAGTGGGCCATACGAATGGCTCCTCATGACACTAGGGATGGATTCTTCTTTCTTGAGCAGCTGACTGATTTCTCTCCGATCGACAAGGGTAGTAGAGCACCACTAGTAGTATGTCCAAAGTGCTTGTCACAATACTCAACTTCGATTGTCTCAGCAGCTTCATACTCAACGGTCTGAAATTATTTTGGAGTTTTCATGCAAATGATTGATTTACAACTTAAAAGTCTCACTTTCAAAAATGCTGTGCATGCCGACTGGATTGCTCTGGGGTGGCCGCTTGTCTCTGTGGCTTCCACAGCGTTTCTCCTGCGCGGTCTAGAACTAATGCACAACCCACAGTCTATAGCTACAAGAGAACATATTCTTTAGCTGCCTTCAATCTAAGTTCGTCAAGGTTGGATTGGCTTACCGGAAGCACTTGTAATATTTGGTCTTAGAGCCATTTTTTGGGAGGGTAGCGTAACATGACCACGATGTGACAGTGAGGCGCTCGTGCATCTCTTTCCAAACCTAAACAGCTGGTTTAATCCGCCTTTCAGATTATTTCACCCTTACATTACTCAATGCTCACCTTGAAGTCTGCATGGTTATCGAACACTCTCGGGTTACAATGTCGCCTTGAAACTCATGCTCCAAACGAGCATGTTCGATGAGGCTTCTTGTATCGCGAGTATTTGCGAGGCATTGGGGGCATGCCAAACCCTGCTTCTGGCTGGTTGCATCTGCGTTTAAATTTGTAAGTGGAGCGAGAGCCTGCCTATGATTCCTTAAAAACATCGCTTCACAATGTTAGTATATTATCTCTAAGGTTATGCCACAGACCTAGCTTTATGCATTCTCACGGCATCTTTTGACGAGCCCCTGAAGTTACACAAATCGCACTGGTACTGCTTCAATGCCATTCTTGCTTCCTTTGTCTCTTTCACTAGGGCCGATGCTGTTTGGGCTCCGATATCTCCGTGATTACGACGCAAGTGTCTCACATAATTATTGAAAGCTGACATAAATTTCCCACAAATCGAACAGGACAAAGACTCCATGTTCTGAAATCGAAGCCATTGCAATAGTCAGCAATAGTGCAAAAGTGATAATCTAAGAAAGATATCTGCAAAGTGAAGGAGCACCTAGCTTCTCCCGCCACATTCAAAGCGCTCCAGCGCAATGACCGCGACGCGACCGCTCGCCCCTCGCTGATGTGAAATGTACGTTTGACATTTAAGTTCTTCTCAGGCGCTGCCATCACTGCTATCTGGTAGCTCCTTATCAGCCCATGTTCACCTTCAGCCGTTGGCCCTGGAGTGCGCAGTGGTAAATAGAAGCGATAAGCTTTCCCCTTGCCCTACTGTTATTCAGCACCCATCAGCAAAAAGCCAGAAAGTTTGTCGTCTTGAGACTGCCGTGGTGCAGCGCTGGGTTTTGCTTCCTTTTGCCTGCCACGTTATCGCTGCTTCGGTGCGACTACAGTATGCGCGCAACGCGTGCGCTCGCCGGTGGGTTTTCCGCGGAGACGTCTAGTCTAGGCCGCTGAAGCTGCTAGATGTCACAAGTTTCGTTTTATATCCATTTTTTTCGCTTCTTTCGAGTTGTTGGGAGCTCGTTTCTTTTCCATTTCTTCTGTTCCTTTATGTTGAGCGGCATTAGTGGTGAAAGGTGCACAGAAAACATTGTTAGTCAAGGAAGGAGGATTCTCGCCCAATCTTGAGGGCACATCGCACAATATATCAGTTTGGCGGTGAAATGGGCGGAGATCCCCAATCACGGCGCTTTCGTTATTGGTGCGTCCCTCTCTCCAATGCGGTAACAAGGTGAGGCGCGCGCCTCAATGATCAGGGAACAGTGGGAGGCGGTCGTTTGGCGCGATCACGTTGCAGCTGACGTGTTCTGACAGGTAACGGTAGGTGCCTACCAAGTTACATAACTTGCGAATCACTGAACTATAAAGTTCTCGTGAGTTATAGCCCAGGAAAAGCCGTGACTAATGGCTGTTGTGCTCACGATTAAGCTAAGTCTTCTTCAGTGATTAGTTAGAGAAATACAGTTTGGAAGTTTTGGACGAGTTGCTTCACCTGGAAGTCGGTTTGCCTGACATGTTTTGACGCGTAAGCGACAAAAAAA